CACACACACACACACACACACACTTCCCTTCAGCTCTGTGAAATGTGAAATTATGGTACCATTTTTTACGTTCCTATCAACACTATTTATTTTTTTAAGAAATGTGACCTCCGAGTTTACGTTTGACGTCCATCTCCGAAAGGACCGAGCCAAATAGGAAAAAAATGGTGAAACGGTATAGTTTTAGCGGCCCTATCAACACGATTAGGTTCTTTCGGGAAGTAGGACCTCCTAGTTTAACGTCCATCTACGATAGAGCCGAGCCAAGTGGGAAATTCGTGTAAAGTTACTGTAAAGTGCCTTTCTCAAGGACACAACGTCGGACCGAGCTGAGGCTCGAACCCTCTTTAAACTCGTAATCTCACGATTACTAGGTCCAGAGCGCTAACCACTAGACTACCGGCGCCTCCTTCAGCTCTGTCTGAGCGTGAACTTATAAAATTTTAACACTTGTGTCACAACGCGGTGGAATCAGGCGCTCGTCAGTTTTTGGACATGTGGAGTTATTGGTATCAGTTTAAAGTTGGTTCAGTTGTCTTGTTTTCGGTGAAAAAAAAATACTTATATACATGATGTATCATGAATAAAAGTCGAGATATTTTCGATTAAAGGAGGTGGGGTCGCCTGGTTTCAGAGGAAAAATTAACGAGAAAATGTTCCCCAAAGTTTGGTAACTTCCAAAGCTTGAGAGTCATTAGAAACTGCAAAATTTACATTTGTGTGCCGTAAATTAACATTTTTCAGTAAAACCCACACAGAAATGTGTTTTAAAATGGACCTTAAAAGTGTTTAGTTTCCCCCCCCCCTAAAAAAAATTAATTAAATCGATAACAATTGATAAAAAAGACAAGAAAAATGCCAGTTTCTTCGTTTTCATTATTCTGACGAGCGCCTGATATCACCACTATGGCTCCCAATTATACATTATCTACATGGGAGATGTTCGGGAGGGGGTTCTGATCCGCCCATATTATTTATCGATTGTGCGCAACATGCCTTCTAATAGTTCTATCATACAGCAAAGGTCAATCGATAGCTGGTCACACTAAAGATCGTACATAACAAGACAGCTCACTTTGAGCCAATTAAAAAAGTGTCCTCAAAATCCTGTGGCGCTCTCTTCGAAAAAGCGCGGACTTTGCGTACAGAGTTACCCTACTTGTGTGGAAAAACAATAAAAGTGAAACTAACAAACTGTGCTACTCCTATTCTTCTTCTGAAGAAACGAAAGAGAGCTTCAAAACAAAAACTGCAACGCCATCTGAAGAAATGCGCGGACTTCCGAGGACACTTTTTTGGCAGAGTGAACCATCTTGATATGTACGATCTTTGGTTGCACCGTACACACTTTCGCTTCCTCGATCCCGAGTAACATCTCAACAAAAGCCAGCTGATGGTTCACGTACACTGTTAAAAGTCTTTCCTAGATCCTCAACATCTTTTTGAAATGTAGCTTAATTTATGCCCCCTCATCGACACAATTTACATCATAATTTAAAAAAAAAAAAAAAAAAAAAAAAAAAGATAATTTAGGAGAATTTAGGAGGTGGACTTCAACCATGCCTGTCACTGTTGTCAAGGGAAGGGCAACCCGGGCTGGGAAGGATATTTGGTCGATTTTAAAGCACAAGAGGGCTATCCCGAAAAACGCTGCGTAGAGAAAATCGAAGGTTAAAGGTTTTTGGACCCCTGTTCAGTTTCTTTAAAAGACAAGGGGGGTGTTCTCTATAACCAAACGTTTCTGCCCCCACCCCTTTTGCCCCCTCCTCTAGGCTTTTGACTCTTTCTACAGCCTTTCTACTGATACTCCTTGGCTCCTTCTTACTGCTGTCTTTCAGCCACACCCCTGATCTTCTGGTAGGAAAGATCTACAATTAGCCTTCTCGGACAATGGCGTAAAATCTCGAAGGTCCCATGTGCAAGTTGCGCACGTTAAGTAAAGATTCTTTAGGTGGTCTAAAATCGTTAAGAATAGACTTTGGCGCCATCTGGGCAAAATTCAAAATGTCCTATCAACTGAAAATGTTGAATGTGTCCGCGCTCCTCATGCAGTTGCGGGGGCCGGAAAAGACTTTCCCCCCAGAGAGAGA